CCCCGACGAGGGGCCGGAGACTCCGCAGGCCCCGGGGCCGGGAGCTGGGGCGGCGGGCAGGCTGCGGGTCCCGACGAGCCCCTGTCCGGGCTGCTCCGAAACGCCTGGGGAGAGGCAGGCGCCCCCTGGCCCTCGGGCATCATTGAGGGACCCGCACTGAGTCTAGTCCCGGGGGTAGCTGCGACCCGGGGCCCACCCGCTGCCCCTATCCCCTGCCCTAGCCCCGACGCCCTCTGCCAACCAGTCCGCTGTCCTGATCACCCTCGGACGCCTGATCTCCCGCCTTCTGCCCCCTACCCTCCTCGGTCAAGGTACGCACCCGATCCACTTACCACCTTCCCCCCCGCCCCCTGCCGACCCGGGCTGACCCGGGCTGACCCCGGCTTCTTCGCGCTCCCCAATTCGTACCGCCCACCTTCCCTCCCTCCTCAATGTCCGGGGCAACACTTCCGCCCACTCTGGACCCACGCGGGCCGCTCCCCGCGCCTGGTGCCTCGGCCTGGGGCCAGCCCTGCCCCGATGGCCGCGCGTCCTCCCGCTCCCCGACCCGCGCGCCCTGACCCGCCCGCTGTCCTCAGCTCTGTCCCCTGAGCCGCTGCCGGATGACAGGTGCCTCCCGCCGGCTCCCAGAGGTGGGATGGGGGGCAAGGTGTCGCCCTGAGCCGGCCCGAGGGTGTGGGCGCGGAGGCGTGGCCGCGGCGGAGCGTCGCGTCCGGGGCCTCGCCGGTGAGTGCGCTCCTCTGGTGACCCTGAGCGTCTCCGTAGCGGACCACGGAGGCCTAGGTGAGGCCGGACGAACGCGTCCGTGTGCGTCAGTGTCTGCCTGTCCTCGTCTCTGCGTATTTCTACGGTCTCTTTTCTCTGTTGCGTGTTGCTGTGTCTCTCTGGAGGTCAGTCTTTGGGTGTGTCTGGTTGGGTCGGGGAGGATGGGAGGGGGTGGCAGCTCCTGTCCCTAGATCTATGAATAGGGGGGCAGGGTGTCCTTTTCGTTTGTGTCTATGTTTGTCTGTCCGTCTGGTGTACCTGCCAGGAGGTGCCCAGATGCGGACAAGACAGGAGCCACTTCCCAAGAAAAGAGATCATCTCTCTCCCTCCTCCAAGGGAATGGGGAGTTACTTCTGGACTGAGCTGTGCTGGGGCTGGGGGCTGCCAGGAATCCTCCCTGGAGCCGGGGGAACCAGAGCGTCTCCCTCTGCTCCCCCAGGCCCCCCAAGCTGACCTGGTCCGCCAGAGTGCCCCTCTCAGGAGGTCTTAAGGGCTGGCGTGGCTGAGATCAGGGCTGGAGCAGGAAGCTGGGAGGGAGCCGCTGGGGGACGGAGCCCAGGAAAGGGCAGGCAGGGCTCACAGCGAGCTCCTTGTGCAGTAGCGTAGGGCTCAGCACTCAGGAGACACCCTTTCCCCCTTGGTTTAACATCCTGCTGTTGCCGTTCTGAAATTCTTAATTTTTGAACAGGGGGATCCACATTTTCATTTTTGCAGTGGATCCAGCAAATTATGTAGCTAGTTCTGATTGCCAGAGGGTCCTGACTGTGAGGGAGTCCTGGGCTGGGAGGGAGTCAACCTGAGGACTTGCCATCATTCACGTTTTCGCTTTGTTCATTCATTTACGTGGTCAACACTCATTCATACTACACTGAATCATTTCAGGCTCTGTTCTAGGTGCCAGGAATTCAGTTATGAAAGACTGCCCTCACGGAGCTGACGTTCTGGTGGAGACACACTCAGTGGATAACTATTTAACTCGCTGAGAAGCTATAGAGTATCAAACATGAGACTCAGCCCTGCCTTCTAGGAGCTCATGACCCAGGACTGCCTAGGGCAGGAGGGTTGGGCCAGTCCTAAGTCTGCCAAGAAGGGTGAGAGGTTCCTGGAGGAGGCACCACCTGTACAGTTGTTTTTGTGGGGTTTTTTTAACATCTTAATTGGAGTGTAATTGTTTTACAATGGTGTGTTAGTTTCTGCTTAATAACAAAGTGAATCAGCTATACATATACATATATCCCCATATCTCCTCCCTCTTGCGTCTCCCTCCCCCCCCCCCTATCCCCCCCCCTGTACCCTTTTTTTTTTTTTTGCGGTACGC